GTAATAAGCCTTTTATCTTTACCCTTTCCTTTTCGTTGATAGCAATTCATTTATTTATACGTACTTATACTTTTAAGTTTTGATTAAAATCGTACAGCAAACGTATACAAGAAAAAAATGAAATATTTCGTACGAACGTTACATAATAAAAATACGCAATATCTTTCGAAAACGATCGATTTCATAAATAAAAATATAAAAAATTATCTTACCCTTTGATAACAGTTATTGAACAATCCGATTCGAGAAGATTAAATTAAACGTTTAAATTAATAAATTGGTAAATGTATTAAGCGCTTAATTAAATATTTCTGGTAACATCGAGATTTTTCGAAATATAAAAGTTGCCAAACTTAAATTTAAACTCTTTATGCTCGTTTTATAATTTTTCGAAATCGAAAACTAAATACGTACATACATGTAGTCGATCAATATCGAATTTATCGTTTCGAATCTTAAATCTCTAAAATGTACGAAAGAGCATTAAAATTTTTTTTTTTTTTTTTTTCTTTAAACGATTAGCTACAAAGATGCAAAACTAATCAACGTTATATAATTATACGTATATATTTACACCGACGTAACGTAATTTTTAACGTAATTTTACGAAAAGATATCAAGAGATAATATCCCTCTTATAATATTTACTCGATCGAATAAATATCGATCGAAATTGTATATATATATATATATACGCTTCTTTCGTCTTAAAAAAACGAATAAACGTTCATCGAATCGCTGTTCATTTTTTAAAGCAATTACGTTAGAGAGCTGGAAATTAAAATTAAAATACTGAATACAAAATTTTCGCAACGGAAAATAAAGTTTACTCGATCGCACTTTTTATCGCTTTTCAACAAGATCTGCAAAAAAATGTTTCGATTTCGATGTATTTCGCGTTATTTACCTTCGATACTTAATTACGCACAAACGTCATTTTAAATGTCATTTGGATGAAAGAATTAATCTTTGCGTGTCTTTCTCTTCGAAAGATTTCGAAATTTCTTTTTTTAAATTAATCGCTGAAAGGAATAATCGCTTTATAATTTTTTCCTTTACATCGATCTCGAAATTAATCTCGTTTTTTCAAATAAAAAAGAAAAAAAATTTCTCAACGATCGCTATCGATCAAAACGAAACGTTGGAGAGACAGAGAGAAAGAAAAAGAAAAATGGCAATAATATATGGAATGACTTGCGAAGAAATTACAATTGCTATGTTAAACATAGAATGAAAATAAATGTTTACAGCACAGTATATACATAAATAAAACTGTATGAAAAGAATTTTCAAGTAAATATACTTGAAACAAGAGTTGTACATACACAGATAAACATACATAGATTATCTATCGATAAAATAAATATCAAATTGAATATATACTATACCTGAATATATTATAATCTTTTACCTGCCCGGTAGTAATTATCGACAAGCAAAAAAGTAAATGTATAGTTAAAACGAAGAGTTTTTATCAGTCGATCGATTAAGAGAAATTAAAAGGATTCAATAATTAAAGATTCGTTATATTTTACTTACAAAATATATAATCAACGAACCATCATCGTATTCGAATAGCACTTGCAAATACGGTATATATATATATATATGTGTGTATACACATATATATATACACATATGTATAAGGCTAACTGGCCGATTAGTTTATTTTCACTCTAAAACTAGGAAACAGAGTTCGAACCAAGACAATTCTCGAAGCAAGATTAACAATGGTATACTCGTAATCTCTCGTGGTCGAAGTTAAGTACTAAATCGTAATCTTGTGAACGTGAAATTAAAATTAAAAAAAAGGGGAATAACGTGGTAATGGATTGGATCGTAATAAGATTATCGACAAAGTGCATTTATTTTCATTAATGACGAACGTTATCTTCAAAATAGCGTGTCGAGGAACATGTGTCGTAGGAGGGAAAAAAGGGGGGAGGGATGGGCACCGATCGTTACTATACAAATATTTTCACATTTTCGCAGAATCGTCGTGATATCTTTTTCCTCTTCTTCTTCTTCTTGTTCTTCTTCTTGTTCTTCTTCTTCTTCTTCTTCTTTTTTTGTATTTTTTTTTTTGTTACATTTTTTTTATTTCGACGTTTCTCCCCCGATCGCCCAAGTCGGAAAAATCGTCCATAATCGTAGGAATTTGGTTGAACCGTTCCTCATTTCATCGCGACTCGTGGGTTTCTCTGCCACGAGAGAACGGCGAGGGGAACGAAACTGACGAATAAAACTCGGCGAGAGAAGGACGCGAGATGTTGTTGTGTGTTCGCACGCGTTTAAGTAAATAATCACGCTTCCTAAATGGCACGTCGTCACTTGGTCTGATTGTATCTTCCTTTGGTCGACCGCCTGTTCGATTGGCTCGAGACGGCGAGTAAATTCTCCTCGAACGTATCTACCGTGAAATCCTGCTCTTTCATCAATTTAGGCAATATCCTACTCGTCTGGCTGTTCTGCCTCATTAAATCGACAGGGTTTCTAGCCGAGGTGAGAATGCCGTTTCGAAGATGGGATTTTCTCTTTTGCGGTTGCAATCGTTTAAAGAGGATGGGTCTTGTCGGGGCGGATTGCGGGGGAGGAGGCGGAGGCATTTTTGGCGGTGGTAACCGAGCGGGTGGAGCGTGGGGTAAGATACCGGCGGGCGTTCTGGACGGACAGGGTGGTGGTGGTGGTGGTGGTGGTGGTGGTGGTGGT